TTGGAGCCCGTTTTCCCCCCCTTGGCGTTCGAATTTTCCGAAACCCCTTCTTAGTGCTCACTTTCACTATAAGAGGGATCTTGTGTCCAAATTTCAGCTTCCTAGCTCTTACCGTTTGGGCTGTGCGTTGATTGCCAATCAGTCAGTCAGTCAGTCAGGACAAACTGTTTTATATATAGAGATATGTACATATGTCCTAATATGTACATATGTCCTAATATGTACATATGTCCTAATATGTATGTACATACGTACCAATATGTAAGTACATATGCATGTACTAATATTTTCATTTGTCTGCACATATTGTTAAACATAAAGAATGCAAAGTAAAATAAGATTTTCACACAATTAAAAGGAATTATTTACTTCGTAATTTGCCGTACATAATGAGCAAAAATAAGAAAAACGCCGTTATACACTTATACACTTATGTGGTGTTTGCAGTACTTGGTCTTTGCTTCACTAATCATCACATTGATTTTGTCAACTCTTCTCTCATCGTTTCTTGCGCACGCAATATTTGTATTGTGCGCGTATGAGTATAAGTACGATTGCAGAAAACAACAAGAACGTGCGATGAAAAAGTAAAGCATGCACCGCATACACCCATGATAGAGTATGAAAGTGATCCAGTCATAGCAATACAAAAATGCCTTTTAAGTCAGTGACTGAATAGACAAAAAAGTATGCGGTGGCGATCACACCGCAACCGCTTTTTCAGTAAGTATACTTAGAGTCACAAAAATAGGCACTCATGCAGTTCTCTGGTACAAAAGGTGGTATAAAAGGTGCATTTTTTTTTTTATAGGCTGTACCCAAAGGGTAAAAGGCTATACTAGTTTTGTGCGAATGTATGTAACAGGCAGAAGGAGGCGTGGCAGACCCCACAAAGTATATACATGTATATTCTTGATCAGGATGACAAGGCGAGTCGATATAGCCTTGTCTGTACAAGAGCAAGAATAACCAAACTCGGTATCCAGATTCTCCTAAGTCCGAGAAAGGACGAGTTTGTGTTTTTTTTCTGATGCTCCCCCCACTCCCCCGCAATTCGTGTTTTCCCCATAATTCCCGTAACTCCCGTAACTTCTCGGTAATTTTGTACTCAATTTTGGCAAATACACCCATATAGTGATTATGTGTCTGTGTGCCAAGTTTCATCATGATAGGTTAATTATAAAGAAAGTTATAGTCATAAACATAATCTCTGCCCATGCTCTGCCGGCAGGGGTTGCTGCTTTGACTTATTTTTTTTACTGTATACAAGCACGCATAAACACGATTCTGATCTATCTATGCTGTTGAAAATTGTACATAAACACTTATGTCTGTATGCATGTGTTAAATATGCATGTGTTAAATCTCTCTATATACATGTATAAAACAGTTTGTCCTGACTGACTGATTGGTGATCGACGTACAGCCCAAACGGTAAAAGCTAGGAAGCTGAAATTTGGACTCAAGTATCCTTTAAAATTCGAAAATTCGAGCTCCAAATGGGGGAAAACGAGCTCCAAAGTTTGTTTGAATCATTTTCAGTTTTCAGCTTCAAATTAGATTTTTATAATCTATAAAAGAATACAAACAAAACTGCATACTCGGATTTTCGAAATTTGTGGTGGAGCTTGAATTGTTGGGGTTTTAATATTTATTCACCTTTTCAAATGAAAAGTTTGTGTTATAAATTTTTTCCGATCGATTTAAAAATTGGGGACTGTAATCTACGTAACTAAATCTACAACTTTGCGTTCAAGGATTTTCAAAATATGCATTTTACAAATACAGGAAGAATAAACAATACAAAATATCAAACAGTTGGGGACAACTAAGTATACATACACACACACATACAAGCAGCTGTTCGTGTAGTTGCGCGCAAACGATTGAAATAGCCAAAGCAAAATGTGAGACACTAATGTGTGAATGCACACACATGCATATGTACACATCTATGTACATGTACACATCTATGTATGTATGTATGTTCATTCGTCTTGCACTGGCAGAGCAAGAAATGTTAAATATATTTATGGCTAAAACTTCTTGGTAAATCGGTCTATCATAGTGAAATTTTGCATACCGACACATAATGACATAATGGGGGGAAATCAAAAAAATAAAACAAACTTGCACAGCGTACACACAAAATGCATCTTTGTGCAAAGTTTTGTGTCTCTACCTCTTATAGTCTCTGAGATCCAGGTGTTCATACGGACAGACAGGGCTAGATTGGCTCGTCTCGGGCAGAAGAAGGCGTGGCAGACCCCACAAAGTATATATATTCTTGATCAGGATGACAAGGCGAGTCGATATAGCCATGTTCGTCCGTCTGTATGAACGCAAGGATCTCAGGAAGTACAAGAGCAAGAATAACCGACCTCGGTATCCAGATTCTCCTAGGTCCGAGCAGCAACAACAAATTACAAATAACGCAAATATCCAATAGATGGGGACATCATATACACACACTCACACAGAACAAGCAACAGTTCGTGTCTATGTGTGCGGTTCTCCACGTACGGTTGAAAACAGCAAGGCGAAAATTATGTGATGTGTACGGAGAAGATGTGTTGACCGAACGCCAATGCTAAAATTGGTTGGTTCGTTCCGGCAATTTCGATCTTGAGGATGCACCACGTCCTGGTAGGCGTCTTGAAGCCGATGTGGATAAAATAAAGTCGTTGAGAGATTAAATTTGTCTAACGCGACCGTTCACAAGCTCATGAAACGTCTACGATTAATTTCGAAATCCTCATGTTCTTACAGAACGAAATTTGCTGACGCATTAACGACTGTGATTTGCTTATCAAACGTCAAAGAAGTGACCCATTTTTGAAGCGCATTGTTACTGGCGACGAAAAGTGGGTTGTTTGCAAAAAAGTAAAGCGCAAGAGATCATGGTCTAAAAAGGATGAACCAGGTCAAACCACTTCCAAGGCCGATAGTCAAATAAAGGTTATGTTGTCTTGGTGGGATTTCAAAGGGATTGTTTATTTTGAGCTTTTGCCCGACAATACCACGATTAATTCTGAAGTGTATTGTGATCAGCTGGACAAATTGAGTAATGCACTCTAACAGAAGAGCCCAGAATTGATCAATAGAAAAGGTGTAGTGTTCCACCAGTATAATGTTAGACCTCAAACAAGTTTGATGACTCGCCAAAAGCTTTTGCAGCTTCAATGGGATGTGCTACTACACCCACCATATTCTCCAGACTTGGCATTTTCGGACTATTACTACTTGTTCCGGTCTCTGCCTTCCCCTTAAATTAGGACCTCAAAAACCACTTGGACCAGTTTTTTGCCTGTAAGCATTAAAAATTTTATGAGCGTGGAATCAATATCTTGCTCGAAAGATGGCAAAAGGTATTGGATCAAAATGGAGAATATATAATTTCATAAAATGTTTTACACAATAAAAAAATCGTGTTTAAATTGCACTAAAAAAACGAAATTACTTAGTGAACTTAATCCCACATAAAGGGGGTACGACTACTCATTTTCGGCATTTAATCTATGTGTGCAGTACAGAGTTGAAACAAAGCAGGAACAACAACAATAGCTCTTGACAGAGCTGGGACAGAGACTATAAGTATTTATGGCCAAGTCTTCCTTAAAAATTAATATATGACAATGAAACACATAAGCACAATCTGAAAGATATTAATAAATTTGAATTACGAGAGTTATGGAAGATCACTAATAGCGGGGCAAAAAGGTAAATGTGTCTCTAGTTTCAGAGACCTATGTGTTTATATGGACGGGGGCAGATATGGCTATATCCACTCGTCTTGCCATACTGATCAAGAATACATATGTATATATACTTTGGGAGGTCCACCAAGCCTGCTTCTGTCTGTTACATTCACGTTGCACAAACATATACATTTCATGTATAGGGTAAACAAGAGAGAACGCTACATTATACATAAATTATGTGAAGTTTTTGAACTGTGGACGGTATTGAAGAAATTATGTAGCGAGGGAAGGGAGGAAAATTCAAAAAAGTAAAATAAACTCGTATAGGCTAGGGGCTAGGAACGACTGCCTACCAAGTTTGGTTTATGTACGGTCAGTCGTATCCGAAATCCAGGCGTTCATCCAGACAGACAGACGGAAGGACATGTCTAGATCGATTTCACTCGTCATGCTGATTTAGAATATATATACATTATGGGGTCAGAGATGCTTCCTTCTGCCTGTTACATACTTTGCACAAACCTAATATACCCTTTTTACCCTACGGGTACAGGGCATAACAAGTAGAGAAGCTAAAGTCGGGTGTCCCGACTTTGAAATACTCTGTACATATGTGTAGAATAATTATGCGTGTATGTGTGTATTTGTGTGTGTCTGTGTAAGTCTCGTGTGTCTGAGCAAAGCAGTAAGCAGTAAAGCACTACTTGACCTTATGTACATATATGGCTATAACTTCCTGTTAAGTCGGCCTGTCATGATGAAACTTAGCATTTGGACTTATAATTACTAACTGGAGGTAAGTACCTGAGAAAAAAATAAAGCAAACTTGCACAGCGTACGTAAGGCATCTTTGTGCAAAATTTGGTGTCTCTAGCTCTTATAGTCTCGGAGATCCAGGTGTTCTTACGGACAGACTGACAGACAGGGCTAGATAGACTCGTCTCGTCATGCTGATCAAGAATATATATACTTTCTTCGGTCTGCCACGCCTAATATACTCTTATACATTTTATGTACAGAGATTAAGAAGAAGAATCTGAATACGAAGTTAAGTTTTTCTAGCTGTTATTGTTTCTGCGATCCTTGTGACGGACATTATTACGTTGATTCGTCATATCATTCTGATCAAGAATATATATACTTTATGTCACGCTTCCTTCTGCTTATACAACATTCACACTAACCTAATATACGCTTTTACCGTTTTGGTACAATGTATACATACATATTTCCCAGGGTCCACAATGCATAGTGCATACTCCTACATTGACATTAGCTTGTAAAAATCAACATGCTTACCCATCTTGACTATTATGAAATGCCAGCACTATAGAGGGACTGGAATAAGCATTGCTCGTGACCCAGGTGCAATGTACTGCAAACATCATTAAAATCATTAAGATTGCCAAAATGACGACGCTTTTCAAGTTAGAGCTTATTCCATTTTCATGATTATTTTCGTGTTTTGTTCGGTGTTTTAATTTTCCGGCCTATAAATAACAAAAAGTATTATATAAATACATGGACAAGTTGATATTAAAATATTTTCTTTAATAAAATGTCGAACATATAAAACAAGAAAGGAATGCTGGAGTCGAGCGGGGACAACTCTTAAATATTCTGTACCCACTTCCAAATAAAAAACAAACAAAAATTATAAATCCCAAAACAAAATTATTGTTAAAAAATATATATGATGCTGCTGCTTGTGGGCGTAGTACCGGAGTGAAATTGTTCGCTAATAACTTTTATTGTAATTAATCAAATAAAATTTGAAACAAAAGTAGATTATTATATACATATGCAAAGTTTGGTTAAGGTAGCTTTTGAAATGTGGACGGTATTGACAAAATTCTGTAGCGGGGGAAAATTTAAAAAATAAAATAAACTCGTCCTTTCTCAGACCTAGGAGAATCTGGATACCAACTTAGGTTATTAAAGCATTTATAGTTTCTGAGATCTTTGCGTTCATCCAGGCAGACGGACGGAAGGACATGTCTAGATCGATTTCTCTCGTCATGCTGATTTAGAATATATATACATTATGGGGTCGGAGATGCTTCCTTCTAAAGGAAAGTCGGGTGTCCCGACTTTGAAATACTGTGTACACATGTTTAGAAAAATTATAGAAATTAAAAAAATTAAAAAAAAAATTTTTGATTGATTTTACCTCTCTCGGTATTCGAACTCACGTAAAGGGTGTATAATTGCACATTTACATAGCAATTGCATCTATGTGAGTGTATGAATGTCTATGAGCGTCTATTCGTTTCTGTGTGAGCATGTTTGCAGTCAACCAAAGGACCAGCATCAATTATAGCTGCGGACAGTGCTTGGGCAGCAAATATATTTATGGCTATAACTTTTTGTTAAATAGTGAAACTTGGCATACGGACACATAATCACTAACTGGGAATACTTGCAAAATTTGAGTTCGAAATTCCAAGAATTACAAACTCGTAGAGCGTACACACATAAGGCATATTGCAGAGTATAAAAAACAAATAGGGAAGCTAAGGTCGGGTGTCCCGACTTTGAAATACTCTGTACATATGTGTAGAATAATTATAGAAACTACAAAAAATGAAGAAGATAAAAAAAAAAAAAATACAAAAAATGTTCGATTTTGCCTTCCGTGATATTTGAACTCACGTTAAGCGTGTATATAGATATAGGCGATTATACGAATGGAAAATCGGGAAATGAAATAGCCATAAATGTTATCTCTATTCACTGCCAAAAGCTGTTGATCTTGTTGCTGTTTGCGCTCAACTCTGTACTGCACACATACATTTCTTTTACAGGGTTTTAGAAGTTGGGTCTGCTCTACTCGAGCAGTCCTTTCTTATTTATTTTTAACTTAGCTAAACCAAATTATCGGATTTATAAAGTCGTACAACAAATACAAGTAGTACGCATAGAATTAAACGGGTTTTGAAACTCTACATTTATTTAATTAATTTTAACTTAATAGAAAAAGCTTTTTTGTTTATAACGACATCGAAAGCAAATCGGATATTGAGGACTTTGCTGATAAGTAGATTTCCTTTTGTGTTGTAGGCCGTGCCTTTTTCAATTCTTATTTGAAAGTATGACATTATCTGTACCAGTGGAAGTGAGCAGGGAATAGGTTCGTATAGATTGTTGCAACGAAAAGTGGGAGAAAAAAAAACGTGGTGGATCGAAACATGTTTTTACCAAGTCATAACCGGTTAGATATCGTAAAGCCCGAAAAAAAAAATCTAGAGTAGGGATGCTCCAAGCTGAGCTAATTATGAGGTACCCACATCTATGCTCAAAAATGATTTGTTTAAACGCATTTAAAAGGGTATTGGTTTTCATAAAGATTATTTTAAAAATTAGCTTAAATACATATTTACCTTATCGTATAGGGTTTTTTTTTCCGTAGGATCTTCATTTTCATCAGTTTCAGTTACAGAGTATGCAGAATTCCCAAATTTCTTTGAAGTATCTTCTTGCAAAAATACATCCAACAATCCCGAAAACGCGACTCCAGCAAGCATACACACGACTGGTGTCAGAGTAAGCATTAAACGAACCATCACACCAGCAAAATAGACAGCACTGATGGCATAAAGTACTACAAATACTCTCTCGTCATTGATTTGCTTAATGCAATACCAAACACCAACCGGAAAAGCGCACACAAGAATGTGCAAGTCAAAAAAAAATGAAAACCATGTGGTGGGCTGATGTTCCGAAACTGATGCAATTATTGGAATGTGGATTTTTGCATAGCCGGTATCCCATAGTGAGTAGAATCGGCCACTCCAGGGTGCAATGACTCCCATCATCGTCAACGCAACTACAGCTACAAACACAAATGCCGCCGCTACCAATCCACCAACGACAAAGAGTTTACGGAACTCATGTCGCGATAACACAGTCTGTAAATGACGCAGAGTAGCAACGGCCATAAGAAGCACGAAGACTCCTAAAGCAGCCATGTGTTCACTTGTTCGTATTGGCTGAAATCCGACAAACGGTATTTGCATGGAGAAGAGGAGTCCAAGGATGTAAAAAGTGCTATAACTTGTAAGAAGTCGGGGCGAGTATCGGCCCATTATAAGCAGCACAAATACGTGAAGAGGGATCAGATTGATTATGAATACGTATCCTCCCCACGCCGACACCATGTAAAAATACGATATTGCAGCACCAGCTGACCAAAACACAGATCCAGTTTTGACAGATCGCACCCAAAGAAAATAGGTAAATTGAAGTGCAAATATGGCGATGCCTTCATTATCATAGGATCCAGCCACAGAACGGCTAATGTAGCCCGGCACTATTGCTATAAAACTAGCCGCAAACAATCCAGCGCCGGGCGACCACAGCTCTTTTGTCAACAAATATGTAGAAATTGCTGTCAGACCACTAAAAACTGGTGCCAAAAATACGCATATATCACGAATATGAACTGGAATATTGAGAAAGTGCAAGAGGTAATGTATGCCGCCAGAAGTTATCATCAATCCAGGGTATACCGTTCCACCGACAATACGGCCCAGGGGGTACCAGGCCCGCTCATCAAACCAATTCAAGAACTTATACCATCCATGTTGTACCATATATGCTGTCGCCCGGTAATTAAACCACGGATCAAATTCATGGATAATTGACTCAAATCGTATGACGGCAAAAAGACGTGATGAAAATCCGGCAATCCATGCAATTAGTAAAATTGCAAAAGTTATAAGACTACTGTACCCAGCAACCTTATTACTTAAAATTTTTGGGCCCCGATTCATTTTAAACGCAGCATAAAATTTTTTACTGCAATATAGACACGTATCACACAAGAACACCGGCTACACGTATGTACTAGAGAAGAGTGATAAGCAATGGAACTGTGACTAGTTACAAGAACAGATTCTCAATCACAATTCAAATCACAGGCATTTTATATTGCCAAAAAATGCGTCAATGGTCGTTGAATACCGAAAGGACATAACCAACAAGTATTCAAATATAATATTGTTCTCTAAAATATAAACCTTAATATATTTGCTACAATTCGACACTACAAATAAAATTAGAATCTACCGCAAAAATCACAAGTATTTGTCACAGATAACTTTTTATCAAAGGCACAACTTACTTACAGAAAATTGGGTAGCAAAATAAACATCCACTTTTTTTAAGTCGTCGATGTTTTGATAATGATACACGATTTTTCCGATGTTCCTTTGAATGCGATATATTGACAATCATCGGTGGTTTGGCAAAAAAAATCGAAAGCATAATTTTAAAAGGAATTCAAAGGGAAACAAGAATTTAAAGAAAATCTAAATCGTCGTAGGTCGCTGCTGGCAGCAGTCGTACAAGCCAGGCTGCGGAAGCCTAGCGCTCGTTCGTGGCTCCGTTTTAGCTTGACCCAGCTGTTTTGGCAACGATTGCACAGTGGTACCTGATAATATTTTTAAGGATCCGTCGCGTTGCAACGTAATTTAAAGGGACTTTACTGCCTATTTATTATTTGTAGTGGTATGGGTACAACCAACAATACGTATAGTTTTTACAATAGTATAAAATATATTAGTAACAAGTTTATGTATTTGCAAATGATTTATTTATTTTTTATAGTCAAAAAAAACATTCATTCAGAAATATATACAAACATGCATACCAACATAAAAATTTCACACGTCACACATGTGTATGTACATATGCCTTCCACGAACGAGTGTAGCGTGTATGTTCTATTTAATTTTTAAGATATCCTTGTGAATTTTAAAAGAGGAAAAAATTATAAAAAAACATTAAGAAATTGTGCAAAGAAAAAAATTAAAATGTTTTATTATTTGTTTGTGTGAATGCATTAAAGCCCATTTAAATATTTGAAGACGAAAAATTGAAATTAGATTAGGGTAAGTGATAATATATAGATTGCGGAATTTAAAAAAAAAATTTTTTTGCAACAAGTTTTTAGGTAGTCCTATAGGCATTAATTTAATTTGCAGGGCCTGGATTACCTGTTTAATACAACAAACTTTGCCTTGCATATCAATTCGATCGGCCGCAGTGCCCAGAAGGAGGAATAGGCAAACAGAAGAAGAGAACAACCTACTTCCAGGCTAGCTTTCCCGTCCGCTCTACACCAGCAAGCTCCCGTATTAGCTAGGGAGGGCTGTGGCGACCAAACGTCGACGGGGGTCGCTGCTTTCCTTTATTCGGCAGAGGCGCTTTAAATCAGAGCGAAAACATTTTAAGAATTCGTAATTCTCGCATTTGTGCGCTCCAGTTTTGGTTCCCGTTGTTTTTTTGTTTGTGCGCTCTTTTTCCAGCGCGGGTTTTTTTTATTGCACCAGCACAGCCGTAACTAGACGTCTGATTATTTATTCTTTTATTAATGCAATTTTCGAGAAGTAGGGCATTGGAAGCGCAATTACATATTACTAAAAAAGATTTTTTTTTGTACGCTACTGAGCGGTTATTTGATATGTTTTTCGTAGGGCAATATTTATTTATATTTTAAAAGATATAGTTTTTAGATTTTGTAAATTTTCTTTTTTATACTCTGTACATGAAATGTACAAGAATATATTAGGTTTGCGGGAGCTGAAAAATGTAACAGGCAGAAGGAGGCGTGGCAGACCCCACAAAGTATATATATTATTGATCAGCGTGACAAGACGAGTCGATCTAGCCCTGTCTGTCTGTCTGTCCGTCCGTATGAACACCTGGATCTCAGAGACTATAAGAGATAGAGACACCAAATTTTCCACAAAGATGCGTTATGTGTGTATTCTATACGACTTTGTTTTATTTTTTTGATTTTCCCCCCCACTTCCCCCTATGGGGGTTTTCCCGATTTTCCATTCGTATAATCGCCTATATCTCGGAGACTATAAGACCTAGGCACACCAAATTTTAGTCCAAGATGCCTTGTGTGAATACGCAGAAAATGTATATTTTGGAATTTCCCTCCCTCCCCCCTCTACCCCGCAAATCGTAACTCCCGTAATTCTTGGAATTTCGAACTAAAATTTTGCAATACCCCCAGTTAGTAATTATGTGTCCGTATGCCAAGTTTCACTATTATAGACCGATTTACCAAGAAGTTATAGCCATAAATATATTTGCTGCTGCAGCGCTGCTCAAGCGCTGCTCAAGCGCTGCCCGCGGCTGTTGTTGATGTTGCTGTTTGGTTGACTGCGAAAATGCTTACACAGACACGAATTGATGCGCATAGGCATACATACACTCACACAGACGCAATTGCTATGTAAATGTGCAATTATACACCCTTTACGTGAGTTCGAATACCGAGAGAGGTAAAATCGATCCAATTTTTTTTTCTTTTTTTTTTTTTTTTATTTTCTATAATTATTGTAAACATATGTACAGAGTATTTCAAAGTCGGGACACCCGACTTTAGCTTTTTTACTTGTTTTATTTTCCATTTTTGTTGTTTTCTTTTAATACTATCATTATAGCCCGTACCCAAAGGGTGAAAGGCTATACTAGTTTTGTGCGCATGTATGTAACACACAGAAGGAGGCGTGGCATATATATTCTTGATCAGGATGAGAAGACGAGCCGATATAGCCATGTCCGTCTGTCTGTATGAGCGCAAGGATCTCAGTAAGTACAAGAGCTAGGATAACCAAAATTGGTATCAAGGTTCCTATAAGCCCTAGGCAGAACGAGTTTGTTTATTTTTTCTGATACACCCCCCCACTCCCCCGCAATTCGTATTTTTTCTTATAACTTCCGTAATTCTCGGAATTTTGAAATCAATCATTGGTAGGTACATCCAGTTAGTACTAATGTGTCCGTGTGCCAAATTTCATCATGATAGGTCAATTCTGAAGAAAGTTATAGCCATAAGTAAAATCGCTGCTCATGCGCTGCCTGCAGCTCTGTCGGCAGCGATGCCCGCAGCTGTTGTTGTTGTTGCTGCTTTGGTTTAACTTTGTGCTGCATACATACACGCATATAAACACGCATAGGTACGTGATGTAAATGTATGCTGTTTAAACTGAACATAAACATGTATTCTAATTTAATTTAATTAATTATTTTAATTAATTAATTCATTCATGTTTTTTAATAATTTAATTTTTTTTAAATTTTTTTTTTTTAATTTTTCCTTTTTGTGGAGAGTACAGGCTATTTTACTGTCGGGCTTGCTCGACTAAAGCGTTCTCTCTTGTTTTTATTTTCGTTTAAATAAATTATTTATAATGTATTGCTAATTAACCATTTTTTTTGAATTCACGCCGAAATCAATGCTTTTGTAAGTCTTTGTTTTCAGCGTAAGGGGGCATTGTTAATATTACACATTTTACGAACCCTGGTTTTAACCAATAGTTTACAATTCATTTACAGAATCTCCTCTCTCGGAGACTTATGATAAGTAATCGAATATTAATCTAATATTATTTTATTTATATAATTAATTAAATAATATAATTTATTTATATAATTAATATTACACAATTTTATTAATTACAATTAATTATTTCGATTACGGCCCTAACTCTTATTGCTGGGTGGGGAGGTTTCTTCGCTGGAGTCGTGTATGGCTAGTCTACCATTTTAAATTTTGCGCAAGTCTATAAGGATGGTCCCGAAGCTGAAGCTGGTACTTTGCTTACACTTTGGCGATTTCTTCTCTTACAGTTCCCACATTTAAATCATTCCGGATATTTTCATTCCGTATGTAACTGGGGTTGGTTCTCAGTATCTTCGATTGAGATCTTTTGATTATCTCTAAAAGGAAACGTTTCCCCTAAGTTCAGAGCCATGTCCAAATTGGTTTGAGAACTGCATTGTTCAAGAGTACTTTGTACTCCAGTTTTAATGGTGAGCGGATGTTTTAAGCCAATGTAGATTACTAGCTTTTAATTTAAGTTGATTTCTCTTCGCTCCGATGTATTTACGCAAAATAAGCCGTCTGTAGTATGTTACTTCAGAGCAGGTTTTCAAATTTCTTTGATAGGCACTGCAGGAGACTGATAGGTTTATATGATGATGGCTGAGACTTGTCCTTTCCGGCTTTATGAATCATTGCGGTGACAGATTTTCTCCATTGCATCATGCTGTGGAAAATGATGGTGAGAAAATTCAATGCGGCAATTCAATGATCATTTTAGGGGAAATAAAATCGTAGCCCGACACTTTCTTCTGCTTTGAGGCTTGGTCATTAACACTTGTAACTTCTCCTGCATGGAATGCGATAGGCGTGGTAGCTTCGAGATGATTGGTTAGTGGGAGCACAAAGCTATTTGTTGCCGGATGTGGGTTGAAGACTTTTTCTAAATTGCCTTCTGCTGCGAGCCCACTCTCCTGTTTGTGTACGTAATGGTAATTCACTCTCGATTGGTGGACATACACCTAATATAGCTGTCCATAGTGAGAATCGTTTGTTGTTTGGGGAGAGTTGTTCCATATAGTCCATTTAAGCTCGGTGTTGCTCATCTTCTAAGGCTTTGCGTAGTAGATGTTTGGCTATTTTCAACCGCTCCTTCGATTCAGGTGATCTGTGCGCTTGCCACTGCCGCCGAAGCCTTCTCTTATTTCGTATGCATGGGAACACGACTGCTTTTGTGAAGTTTATTAGCTGTAATTATTGGAGTAGAATGTCATCTTTACAGTAAATGTTTGGGCAGCCATCAATATGGGAACTTACGCAATTCCTGTATTTAAGCCAGTCTGTTTTTCTAGAAGTTATAAAGCGTGTGCGTTCGGAATACTATTGGTAGTAATAAAGTTGAAGAAGCATTGGCGAGTGATCCGATGATAGATCTCTTAAGTGGTCCACACAAATCTGAGCCTGTGGCACTCTTCGAATCGCTCTT